CTGCTGCCTGTCCTGCACAACACATCGAACGTTTCCTTTACAATAAAATACATTTTCATTTGTTCCTATTTGACAAAACAACATTTGGGGCGATAAAATCCTCAGAATTTTTGGAACAACTTTTAAATTAATTCCATTTTTCTACTTAACTCCTCCCCCTGGCCTCCCCTTCACTCTTGCACGGGTATACCGGCTCCACCCACCCGCACCCTCCACACTCACAGCCACCCGCCCACCCACACCCTCCACACTCACAGCCACCCATCTCTTCCCCTTCAGTCTTGCAAAAGTGAACCAGCTCCTCCCCTTCAGTCTTGTACAGGTGTAGCGGCTCCTCCCCTTCAGTCTTGCATAGGTGTATCGGCTCCTCCCCTTTAGTCTTGTACAGGTGTAGCTGCTCCTCCCCTTCAATCTTGCACAGGTGTACCGACTCCACCCACCTGCACCCCCCACACTCACAGCCACCCACCTTCGGCCACCCATCTCTTCCCCTTCAGTCTCGCACAGGTGAACCAGCTCCTCCCCTTCAGGCTTGTACAGGTGTATCGGCTCCTCCCCTTTAGTCTTGTACAGGTGTATCGGCTCCTCCCCTTCAGTCTTGCACAGGTGTACTGACTCCTCCCCTTCAGTCTTGCACAGGTGTACTGACTCCTCCCCTTCAGTCTTGCACAGGTGTATCAGCTCCTCCCCTTTAATCTTGCACAGATGTAGCTGCTCCTCCCTTTCAGTCTTGCACAGGTGTACCGGCTCCTCCCCTTTAGTCTTGCACAGGTGTAGCTGCTCCTCCCCTTCAGTCTTGCACAGGTGTACCGGCTCCTCCCCTCCAGTCTTGCACAGGTGTACCGGCTCCTCCCCTCCAGTCTTGCACAGGTGTACCGGCTCCTCCCCTTCAGTCTTGCACAGGTGTATCGACTCCTCCCCTTCAGTCTTGCACAGGTGTACCGGCTCCTCCCCTTCAGTCTTGCACAGGTGTACCGGCTCCTCCCCTTCAGTCTTGCACAGGTGTACGGGATCCTCCCCTTCAGTCTTGCACAGGTGTACCGGATCCTCCCCTTCAGTCTTGCACACAGGTGTACCTGATCCTCCCCTTCAGTCTTGCATAGGTGTACCGGCTCCTCCCCCTCAGTCTTGCACAGGTGTACTGGCTCCTCCCCTTCAGTCTTGCACAGGTGTATCGGCTCCTCCCCTCCAGTCTTGCACAGGTGTACCGGCTCCTCCCCTCCAGTCTTGCACAGGTGTACTGGCTCCTCCCCTTCAGTCTTGCACAGGTGTACCGGCTCCTCCCCTTCAGTCTTGCACAGGTGTATCGGCTCCTCCCCTTCAGTCTTGCACAGGTGTATCGGCTCCTCCCCTTCAGTCTTGCACAGGTGTACCGGCTCCTCCCCTTCAGTCTTGCACAGGTGTACAGGCTCCTCTCCTTCAGTCTTGCACAGGTGTACAGGCTCCTCCCCTTCAGTCTTGCACAGGTGTACCGGATCCTCCCCTTCAGTCTTGCATAGGTGTACCGGCTCCTCCCCCTCAGTCTTGCACAGGTGTACTGGCTCCTCCCCTTCAGTCTTGCACAGGTGTCTGGCTCCTCCCCTTCAGTCTTGCACAAGTGTACCGGATCCTCCCCTGCAGTCTTGCACAGGTGTACCGGCTCCTCCCCCTCAGTCTTGCACAGGTGTACCAGCTCCTCCCCCTCAGTCTTGCACAGGTGTACCAGCTCCTCCCCTTCAAATACATTTTTGGGAATTATTTGTAGCCATATTGTTCTCAGGTGCATGCCCCCTCCCCTGTACTCAGATGATTGGCTGGTCATCTGTCTGCTACGTTGCTCTAGAATCGGAGGGGATGCTCTGCGTGTTCAGGATCCAGCCAATCAGAGCTCGTTATATCCTTCTCATCACTCAACCAGATTTATTGTACATTCGGGGTGCTTGCTGACATCCGTAACGTAAGAGGAGACCGGAATGGCAGGAGGAAGCCACACCTGCAAATTGACCTGTGACCCATGACCTCTGAAGTAATTGACCTGTGACCTCCGTCCATCATAAGGGGGATTGCAAGTCAACCGTTCAGGCCGCGCGTCCACAGGGGTCCATTCCGGAGCGTGCGTACCGATCATTTTCCTGTTGTTCCATTCTAAACCTCGCCTCCTCCTCTGTGAGCGATCTCTGCGCTCATTCTAGCACTGTCCAATGGGATGTCAGCGTAGTCTTCTATATACATCTATATACTCGGCTAGAGAGCTGTTAATGTAACAAGGACCGGAAAAAAAAAGATTAATGAATTTATGGTCAACTAACCTAATAAAACATTCAGAACCGGCTGAATCGGCTGTTTTTGAAAAGGGACACCGATATAGAGGTTGTAAAAATCATTTAACGGATAATTTATTAAATTAGATTATTTTATTTAATATTAATATTATTCTGATTATTTTTTATTATCGTTATTTTATTATAATATTTATTAATATTCTTATTACTAGTATTATTATTGTCATTGTAATATTTCCTATTGTATTGATTGTCATTATTATTATATTATTTTATTGTAATTTTTTATTATTTTATTAAATATTTTTATTGAATTATTATTATTATATTAATTATCAATATATCATTATTGTTATTTGTATTGTTATGTAATATTGTAACAGGTGGGAGACAATGGGACAGGTGGACAGGGCAGTGGGACAGGTGGGAGCAGCGGGGGGCAGTGGGACAGGTGGGGGCAGCGCGGGGGCAGTGGGGCAGCGGGGGGCACTGTAACACACCTTGAGAAGCACCAATCCTCCCAGCTCTCACCTGTCCAGCAGTGCTCATTCAGATGGTGTCAATGGAGAGGATCTGGTGCCAGGAGGGGTAGCTGGCCTTGTGTTCGCCTGGTTGTTGTGGTCTATGGGGATGGGGGGGGGGTGGTGCCATGCTGGAGGTGGGGCTGTCACGCAGGTGGTGGGATTTGGTGGCCTCAGTGACTCCTCTGCATGTGTTGTTGGCCACCGCCGTCACAATAAAGGCGGCCTTGATGGGCTCTGGTCGGTCACCCTCTAAGCTCCCATCCATGGTCGCCTCAGCAGTGTGAATAGAGAGGTCAGTGTGGGGGGGCAGCGTCCTCCACTCCATGGGCTCTCTGGGGGGTTGTGGATGTGTGGTGGGGGGCAGGCTTGCGGTGTCCTCCGGGGTGGGGTAGCTTTCGTTGGGCTGTTTAGAGAGTTCTTTGCCCGGGAGAGGTGTGATCCAGGGAGCTCCGCCTGAACTCTGTGCAGGGCAGGGATGGGGGGAAGGGGTGCTCAGAAGGTCCTGGGACATTGGGCGGGTCTCCAATCTGAGGGGCGGGGGAGAGGAGCCAGCCAAGAAAGCAGGGTGGGGGAGCATGAGGCAGTGTGGGCATGCAGGGGGCCCAGGCACCAGGACCTGGGTTGGCCATTTATCAGGGGAGATGGTCCTAGGTTGGCCATTTATCAGGGGAGATGGTCCTAGGTTGGCCATTTATCAGAGGAGATGGTCCTAGGTTGGCCATTTATCAGGGGAGATAGTCCTAGGTTGGCCATTTATCATTGGGGATGGTCCTAGGTTGGCCATTTATCAGGGGAGATGGTCCTAGGTTGGCCATTTATCAGGAAAGATGGTCCTAGGTTGGCCATTTATCAGGGGAGATGGTCCTAGGTTGGCAATTTTACAGGGGAGATGGTTCTAGGTTGGCCATTTATCAGGGGAGATGGTCCTAGGTTGGCCATTTATTAGGGGAGATGGTCCTAGGTTGGTCATTGATCATGTGAGATGGTCCTAGGTTGGCCATTTGACAGGGGAGATGGTCCTAGGTTGGTCATTGATCATGGGAGATGGTCCTAGGTTGGTCATTGATCAGGGGAGATGGTCCTAGGTTGGCCATTGATCAGGGGAGATGGTCCTAGGTTGGCCATTGATCATGGGAGATGGCCCTAGTTTGGCTATTTATCAGGGGAGATGGCCCTAGGTTGGTCATTTATCAGGGGAGATGGTCCTAGGTTAGCCATTTATCAGGGGAGATGGTCCTAGGTTGGCCATTTATCAGGGGAGATGGTCCTAGGTTGGTCATTGATCATGTGAGATGGTCCTAGGTTGGCCATTTGACAGGGGAGATGGCCCTAGTTTGGCTATTTATCAGGGGAGATGGCCCTAGGTTGGTCATTTATCAGGGGAGATGGTCCTAGGTTAGCCATTTATCAGGGGAGATGGTCCTAGGTTAGCCATTTATCAGGGGAGATGGTCCTAGGTTGGCCATTTATCAGGGGAGATGGTTCTAGGTTAGCCATTTATCAGGGGAGATGGTCCTAGGTTGGTCATTTATCAGGGGAGATGGTCCTAGGTTGGTCATTTATCAGGGGAGATGGTCCTAGGTTGGCCATTTATCAGGGGAGATGTAGATGGATTTGATAACAAACTGAAGAACTAAACATAAAACTTTTTTTTTTACTTATTATTTTGGATAGAGTAAGGGGGGGGGGGATATACCCAGTCAGGTGTCTTATTGAGGAGATTTATCTTCACTTCCTCTCCCAGCCAAAAGAGGAAGTAAGAAGTAGCTCCAATCCCTGGTTGTCCCCCCATGGTGTCCCCATTAGAAGATTTCCCTCTATTCCTATTCTGGTAGCATCTCCCCCAGGTGTCATCACCCCACCAGAGACCTCCACCTCTACCAGAATAGCCCTCCAGGAGTAATCACCCCACCACTGGCAGGACAGCCCCCCTCCAGAATTTCACCACCCACCTCTGCTAGAACACCACCACCTAGCTCCCATCACCCACCAGAGACTCTGTACTCCTTCAGCACAGCCCCCTACTCTCTCCACCCTACCAGAGTCCCCCACCACCCCCTTCTCACTGCTTCAACACCCAAACCCAACATCATCAACACACCAGCATGCAACCCTCCATCTTCACCATTGTTCATGTATGGCCCCCTCTATTGGCATCACCATACCAACACCCCTATTCGCAACCTTGCCCATCCTGGTCACGTCTCCCACTAACCTCTGAAAGATGCATTTCTTCAAGTCCAGGCCGTCATCCAGATCCTCCTCATTGGCCAATAACAAGAGGCGTGAGTCGCTATCGTCCACCCCAATGAAGTCCCGCTCTTCCACTGTTGGAAGTCACAGACAACACGGAACATCAGTACACAACCAGCCGACGTGAAGCCACCAACCAACAAACCAACTTTATATACACTAACTATGGGAATAAAGATGTTTGTGGAGGACAGTGTTGGGGCCCAAAGTCAACAATGGCGCTCTGTAATCTGGTTTGATTTATAAAAACGTCTTAATGTTAGGTGGACACCATTGGCGCCGTCATTCCTCCAGGCTGTTGGCACAATATTGAACCCCCTGCCAGTACAGACATGGCCCAGGCGGACACAACTTACCGGCCTTATGCTTCCCCTTCTGTCCTGGGATGTGCTCACTGGGCTCCGCTGCCTTCCGCATCAGCATGGACAGCGTGGCAGTGTGGGCACGGAACAAGTCAATGACCTCGTGTAGCGCCACCTCCGTTATCAGGTCACAACTCACAACCAGGACGTCAGTCTGACAGAAACAAGAGGGGGAGAAAAGGAGACAAATCAGTAAAATAGCAGCAGAGATCCTGCCAGTAACACACTTCCTATACAGGGAACAGGGCCCCCTTCAGGGGAGCCTTCGTCCTTATTTGTTGTCAACGATGACTGCATTTTCATTACAAACTCATTGATCAGGTGGGAGGGTCCTAGGTTGGTCATTGACCAGGTGGGAGGGTCCTCGGTTGGCCACTAATCAGGTGGGAGGGTCCTCGGTTGGCCACTAATCAGGTGGGAGGGTCCTCGGTTGGCCACTAATCAGGTGGGAGGGTCCTCGGTTGGCCACTAATCAGGTGGGAGGGTCCTCGGTTGGCCACTGATCAGGTGGGAGGGTCCTCGGTTGGCCACTGATCAGGTGGGAGGGTCCCCGGTTGGCCACTGATCAGGTGGGAGGGTCCTCGGTTGGCCACTGATCAGGGGGGAGGGTCCCCGGTTGGCCACTGATCAGGTGGGGGGGTCCCCGGTTGGCCACTGATCAGGTGGGAGGGTCCTCGGTTGGCCATTGATCAGGTGGGATGGTCCCAGGTTGGTCATTGACCAGGTGGGATGGTCCCAGGTTGGTCATTGACCAGGTGGGATGGTCCCAGGTTGGTCATTGACCAGGTGGGATGGTCCCAGGTTGTTCATTGACTCATTCATTGTTCATTGACAGGTTGTTCATTCCCTTGGCATCGGAGATGCTGCTCTCTCTTGGTTCTCATCCTACCTATCCCGACGCTCCTTCAGTGTCACCTACAATGGTGCCACCTCCCCCTCCCTCCCCCTCTCTGTTGGGGTCCCCCAAGGCTCTGTCCTTGGACCCCTTCTCTTCTCCATCTACACCTCCTCCCTGGGCAAACTCATACAATCTCACGGCTTCAACTATCACCTCTATGCTGACGACACCCAAATCTACCTCTCCACCCCTCACCTCACCCCCACTATCTCCGCCCGCATCACTCACCTCCTAAATGACATCTCAGACTGGATGTCGCTACATTTCCTCAAGATTAACCTCTCCAAAACCGAGCTTCTCGTCTTTCCCCCTGCCCACACCCCCCCCCCCCCCATCCTATCCATCATCACCAACAACTCCACTATCACTTCCGCCCCACAAGCCAAAGTCCTTGGCGTCATTCTTGACGCGAACCTCTCCCTCCAACCGCATGTCAAATCACTCACAAACACATGCAGGCTCCATCTTCGCAACAGTGCCAAGATCCGCTCCTTCCCTCACCCCAGACACCACCAAACTTCTAGTACACTCCCTCATCATCTCACGCCTTGACTACTGCAACTCCCTCCTCACTGGCCTACCCAAGTGCAGGCTCTCCCCGCTCCAGACCATCCTGAACTCAGCTGCCAGACTCATCCACCTCACCACCCCACCCGCTCCACCTCTGCCACCCCCCTCTGCCTCTCCCTCCACTGGCTCCCGATTGCCCAACGCATCAAATTTAAAACTCCTTACCCTGACCTACAAAGCCGTTCACAACACTGCCCCTGACTACCTCACCAATCTGATCACCAGGTACCACCCTACCCGTACCCTTCGCTCCTCACAGGACCTCCTTCTATCCTGCTCCCTGGTCTCCTCCTCCCATGCACGACTGCAAGACTTCTCCAGGTCCTCCCCCATCCTCTGGAACTCACTGCCCCAATCCATCAGACTGTCGCCTTCTCTATTCACATTCAGGCGCTCCCTCAAAACCCATCTCTTCAGGGAAGCCTACCCCACCCTCACCTAACAGCCATCCTCCCTCATTCCTCCTACCACTTCATCCCCCCCAGCCACTTCCTACTGTACCTTTACCCCCTCCCTCCTAGATTGTAAGCTCGTAAGAGTAGGGCCCTCTTACCCCTCGTACGCTGTCTGTCTTTGTTGTACTGTGCCATGTATTGTCCCCCCCTATTGTACAGCGCTGAGCAAACCCTTTGGCGCTATATAAACTCGTAGTAATAATAATAATAATAATTGACCAGGTGGGATGGTCCCAGGTTGGTCATTGACCAGGTGGGATGGTCCTAGGTTGTTCATTGACCAGGTGGGATGGTCCTAGGTTGTTCATTGACCAGGTGGGATGGTCCTAGGTGGGTCATTGACCAGGTGGGATGGTCCTAGGTGGGTCATTGACCAGGTGGGATGGTCCTAGGTTGGTCATTGACCAGGTGGGATGGTCCTAGGTTGGTCATTGACCAGGTGCGATGGTCCTAGGTTGGTCACTGACCAGGTGAGATGGTCCTAGGTTGGCCACTGATCAGGTGGGAGGACTCTAGGTTGGCCACTGATCAAGTGGGAGTGTCCTAGGTTTGTCATCAAGTTTTCAGCTCACAGGAAGTGATGAAGATGTTGCACTTCTGGCAGGATCAACAAGTATTTTCTGTATTAAAACTAATGCAGCCACCAGATCCAAGGACTGGAGATCTGCAATGTACTACAATGTTGTTTCTCTGGGTTTAGATCCGCTGCAGCTCCCCTTCATTCATAGGACGGCATCTCTCCATCACCATGCTCCGTTCAGTACCTCCAGGTATGGAGGAGCATGTGACTGTCTGAGCCAATCAGCACACTCACATGTGGAACCCCTAAGCTACAGCGACTTTTTTTTTCAGCGGCTGAACACATCGGTGGGGTAATGAAAGGAGGATTTTTATACACTGCGGGGGGAGGGGCTTAATAAAAGTGGGCAGGTCACAGGTTCACTTTTGGGACTGAACTGAGCAGAGCCAAAAAAATGTTGGTGAGTGTCGTCACTGTTTAATGTGACGCCGCAGCGTGGACAGGCTGTACAGGCAGGACGGATGTTTTGTGCATTCCTCTGCCCTGGAAGATGGGTGGCAAGGGGTAGGAATGGGCCCCTACATGGGGCCCAGGACAGGGAAACCGCCCCGGACCGGCACATCTCTGTGCGCGGCGTCACCTCACCTTGATCTTGGAGTAGATGTGACGCAGGGAATCGGCCGTCCCCATTTCCAGAGCCTTGTCCTCCGGCAGACACACGACATCCACCTTCATCTTCATATCCGGAACAAACTTCTGGACCTCCCGGGTACCACGATCACCTCTGCCGGACACACAGGGGGTCAGCATCACGGAACACCAACCCCGCTAAGCCCCGCCCATGTAAAGAGCTGAACGTCTGGAAACTTCACAACAAACGTTACAAAAAATGTTTCATTGACTTCACACTGCGCCCCTCCTGTCACACCGCGCTCCTCCCTGTCGCACCGCGCCCCTCCCGTTACACCGCACCCTTCCTGTTGCACCACGCCCCTTTAAACCTAAATGATCACCCCAAAATGATTTCCCTGCCTCCGGGGTGTGCCGCACCCCGTCCGTGCCATGGAGGTGGAAGCCTATTATAATTTGCTGCCTAACTACTATTTTCACTTAACTTTATTACTATTACAGGTGACAATACCTACAGGATGCTGGGTACTCCGCCCCACCCCCGATGTCACCTCTACAGCCTCCCGTACATGCAGAGTCCCAAATCTGTCACTGCGCCAGGAACCCGACAGATCTGACCCCAAACTGCGACCATTTCCAAATTCAATGCCACAAATAATATTATTATTAATAATAATATCATAAGTATGAGTAGTTTTTATTTTATTTTTGTTTTTATAAATTATCGTTTTATTATACAAAAATTGATGTTTTTGTATTTATATTTGTTATCATTGCCAGTATTATTATTAATTATTATTAGTATTATTATTAGTATTATTTATTATTAGTATTATTATTTATTATTATTATTTATTATTAGTATTATTTATTATTATTTATTATTAGTATTATTTATTTATTATTAGTATTATTTATTATTAGTATTATTTATTATTATTATTTATTATTTATATTATTATTTATTATTATTATTATTATTTATTATTATATTATTTATTATTATTATTAGTATTATTATTTATTATTATTATTTATTATTAGTATTATTATTTATTATTAGTATTGTTATTATTAGTATTATTATTTATTAGTATTATTTGTATTATTTATTATTAGTATTATTTATTATTATTATTATATATTATTAGTATTATTTATTTATTATTAGTATTATTATTATTATTTATTATTATTATTTATTATTAGTATTATTATTTATTATTATTATTTATTATTAGTATTATTTATTATTATTATTTATTATTAGTATTGTTATTATTTATTATTAGTATTATTATTTATTAGTATTATTTGTATTATTTATTATTAGTATTATTATTAGTAGTATTATTAGTATTATTTTTTTATTATTAGTATTATTATTTATTATAGTTATTTATTATTATTATTTATTATTAGTATTTATTATTATTATTAGTATTATTTTATTATTATTATTTATTATTATTTATTATTAGTATTATTATTTATTATAGTTATTTATTATTATTATTTATTATTAGTATTTATTGTTGCTGCTGCCATTATCAGTAGTGGAATGTTTATGTATTGATGTCATTTGTATCTTTCCTCTTGAATTGTTACTTTTGTATCCATGACGTCATCACTGACATTGTTGTTAGGATTTATGTATCATTTGTAGTATTACGTTTATTCATATTAGAATATTATTACCATCAGGATTATTATTAGGGGCGGTATTATCTGATCCTCAGCCATGTCCTGTACTGCCGTGACCACCCCCCGGGGGGTACACCCCTCTCTGCCCACCACGGTACTCAGGAACCCCGCGGACAGTACTGACTCCTCCTCCTCCTCCCTGTCAGTTTGCATGGTGTGGGGGAAGTGCGGGATGTGTATACTGAAGCTGTGTCCCCGCTGAGATTTACCCTCACTTCCTGTCCAGGAGACACAACAGGAAGTGGGAGGAAATCTCCCCAAAGTGAAGGGAATCCCCTTTTCTCCTTCTCCCCCCCTCTCCCTTCTGGACGTTAGATCTTTGGCCTGAAGTCCCCCCCATGCACGCCAGGCGCCGGGTGCGTCCGTACTCCCAGGGCACCGTGGAGGTCAGGCTCAGTGACAGGTCCTCTTCATAGATCTGCGTTCCTCACCCTCAAATCCGGCGCGCTCCAGCATGTTCAGCGGGTACCACAGCAGAGGTTTGTTCCCCACCGGGAGGAGGGGCTTCGGGATGCTACTGGTGAGGTCACTCATCCGCGAGCCTCCGCCCACCGCCATCACCACCGCCTGCAGTTCCAGCGCCATCCTGCGGGGGGAGAAGAGATGGGGACACCATGAGACAGTGTAGGAGGAGGAGCTGGACCCCCGAACCTATCTAGAGACCCCCTCCCCCATCCTATATACAGACCCCCTCCCCATATATGACCCCCCATCCTATATACAGACCACCTCCCCATATATAACCCCCCCTCCTATATACAGACCCCTCCCCCATCCTATATACAGTCCCCTCCCCCATATATGACTCCCCATTCTATATACAGACCCCTCCCCAATATATAACCCCCCAAACCTATATACAGACCCCCTCCCTATATATGACCCCCCCATCCTATATACAGACCGCCTCCCCATATATGATCCCCCCATCCTATATACAGACCCCCTCCCCATATATGACCCCCCCATCCTATATACAGACCCCCTCCCCAATATATACCCCCTTAAACCTATATACAGACCGCCTCCCCATATATGACCCCCCCCTCCTATATACAGACCCCCCTCCCCCATATATAACCCCCCCCAAACCTATATACAGACCCCCTCCCCCATATATGAACCCCCTCCTATATACAGACCCCCTCCCATATACAGACCGCCTCCCCATATATAACCCCCCCTCCCATATACAGACCCCCTCCCCCATATATAACCCCCCCCAATAAAATCAAAAATATATACAGACCACCTCCCCATATATGACCCCCCCTCCTATATACAGACCGCCTCCCCCATATGACCCCCCATCCTATATACCAACCCCCTCCCCCATATATGACCCCTCATCCTATATACAGACCGCGTCCCCCCATATATAACCCCCCCCATTCTATATACAGACCCCTCCCCCCCGTATACATATGGGGGGGAGGGGGGGGCAGATAATATAATTGGTGGGATCCTCTCTCCTATAAGGAATACTGGGGGGAAGGGGAGAGAGGGGGACCCCCCGTATGACTATAATGATCCGACCCCCCTCATCTCCGCCTCCCCATATATAACCCCCCCTCCCATATACAGACCCTCTCCCCCATATATAACCCCCCAAAACCTATATACAGACCGCCTCCCCCCCATATGACCCCCCATCCTATATACCAACCCCCTCCCCCATATATGACCCCCCATCCTATATACAGACCGCCTCCCCCATATATATGACCCCCCCCAAACCTATATACATACAGACCGCCTCCCCCATATGACCCCCCATCCTATATACCAACCCCTCCCCCATATATGACCCCCCATCCTATATACAGACCGCCTCCCCCATATATGAGCCCCCATCCTATATACAGACCCCTCCCCCATATATGACCCCCCATTCTATATACAGACCCCTCCCCCATATATGACCCCCCATCCTATATACAGACCCCCCTCCCCAATATATGACCCCCCCATCCTATATACAGACCTCCCTTTCCCATATATGACCCCCCATCCTATATACAGACCCCCCTCCCTCATATATAACCCCCCATCCTATATACAGACCCCCTCCCCCAAATATAACCCCCCATCCTATATACAGACCCCCTCCCCCATATATAACCCCCCATCCTATATACAGACCCCCCTCCCCCATATATAACCCCCCATCCTATATACAGACCCCCTCCCCCATATATAACCCCCCATCCTATATACAGACCCCCTCCCCCCCCATATATAACCCCCCATCCTATATACAGACCCCCTCCCCCATATATAACCCCCCATCCTATATACAGACCCCCCTCCCCAATATATGACCCCCCCATCCTATATACAGACCTCCCTTTCCCATATATGACCCCCCATCCTATATACAGACCCCCCTCCCTCATATATAACCCCCCATCCTATATACAGACCCCCTCCCCCAAATATAACCCCCCATCCTATATACAGACCCCCCCCCCCCCATATATAACCCCCCATCCTATATACAGACCCCCTCCCCCATATATAACCCCCCATCCTATATACAGACCCCCTCCCCCATATATAACCCCCCTCCTATATACAGACCCCCTCCCCCATATTTGACCCCCCCCATCCTATATACAGACCCCCCCTATCCTATATACAGACCCCCCCTCCCCCATATATGACCCCCCATCCTATATACAGACCCCTCCCTCATATATAACCCCCCCCCCCATCCTATATACAGACCCCTCCCTCATATATAACCCCCCCCCATCCTATATACAGACCCCTCCCTCATATATAACCCCCCCCCCATCCTATATACAGACCCCCCTCCCTCATATATAACCCCCCCCCATTCTATATACAGACCCCTCCCCCGTATACATATGGGGGGAGGGGGGCAGATAATATAATTGGCGGGATCCTCTCTCCTATAAGGAATACTGGGGGGGGGGGGAGGGGACCCCCCTATGGCTGTAATGATCCGACCCCCCCCCTCATCTCCGCACAGCGCTACACTGACACGTGGTGGGCGGGGTCTGTGTGCCGGGCCGCGGGGCATGCTGGGAGATGTAGTCCTCCGACCGCCAATGGCGACAGACCGCTCGCTGCCCCCTCCCGGGATGCTGGTGTGAGGGGGAGGAGCCTCGGCGTACCTGTCCGTGTCTGTGATCCCGCCACCGGTCCGAGCTCCCTGCACTTCCGGTACGGATCCCCAACCGGCACACACAGGGACACGTGACCTCCTGGGGGCGGGGAGGGGGAGGAGCCACCTGGCTGTTATTACAAGGAGTGCTATCGCAATATTATCGTCATTCTCCTTCCTATCGTTATCGTCCGATAATATCTGCGGACAGATCGGTCCCGGTGTCGGTGATATCTGCCGCCAGATCGGTCCCGGTGTCGGTGATATCTGCCGCCAGATCGGTCCCGGTGTCGGTGATATCTGCCGCCAGATCGGTCCCGGTGTCGGTGATATCTGCGGACAGATCGGTCCCGGTGTCGGTGATATCTGCCGACAGATCGGTCCCGGTGTCGGTGATATCTGCGGACAGATCGGTCCCGGTGTCGGTGATATCTGCCGCCAGATCGGTCCCGGTGTCGGTGATATCTGCGGACAGATCGGTCCCGGTGTCGGTGATATCTGCCGCCAGATCGGTCCCGGTGTCGGTGATATCTGCCGCCAGATCGGTCCCGGTGTCGGTGATATCTGCCGCCAGATCGGTCCCGGTGTCGGTGATATCTGCCGCCAGATCGGTCCCCGGTGTCGGTGATATATCTGCCGCCAGATCGGTCCCGGTGTCGGTGATATCTGCGGCCAGATCGGTCCCGGTGTCGGTGATATCTGCCGCCAGATCGGCCCCGGTGTCGGTGATATCTGCCGCCAGATCGGCCGGCCCCGGTGTCGGTGATATCTGCCGCCAGATCGGCCCCGGTGTCGGTGATATCTGCCGCCAGATCGGCCCCGGTGTCGGTGATATCTGCCGCCAGATCGGTCCCGGTGTCGGTGATATCTGCCGCCAGATCGGTCCCGGTGTCGGTGATATCTGCGGACAGATCGGTCCCGGTGTCGGTGATATCTGCCGCCAGATCGGTCCCGGTGTCGGTGATATCTGCGGACAGATCGGTCCCGGTGTCGGTGATATCTGCCGCCAGATCGGTCCCGATGTCGGTGATATCTGCGGACAGATCGGTCCCGGTGTCGGTGATATCTGCGGACAGATCGGTCCCGGTGTCGGTGATATCTGCGGACAGATCGGTCCCGGTGTCGGTGATATCTGCGGACAGATCGGTCCCGGTGTCGGTGATATCTGCGGACAGATCGGTCCTATTGTCGGTGATATCTGCGGACAGATCGGTCCCGGTGTCGGTGATATCTGCCGACAGATCGGTCCCGGTGTCGGTGATATCTGCCGCCAGATCGGTCCCGGTGTCGGTGATATCTGCCGCCAGATCGGTCCCGGTGTCGGTGATATCTGCGGACAGATCGGTCCTGGTGTCGGTGATATCTGCGGACAGATCGGTCCCGGTGTCGGTGATATCTGCGGACAGATCGGTGTCGGTGATATCTGCGGACAGATCGGTCCCGGTGTCGGTGATATCTGCCGCCAGATCGGTCCCGGTGTCGGTGATATCTGCCGCCAGATCGGTCCCGGTGTCGGTGATATCTGCCGCCAGATCGGTCCCGGTGTCGGTGATATCTGCCGCCAGATCGGTCCCGGTGTCGGTGATATCTGCCGCCAGATCGGTCCCGGTGTCGGTGATATCTGCGGACAGATCGGTCCCGGTGTCGGTGGTATCTGCCGACAGATCGGTCCCGGTGTCGGTGATATCTGCCGCCAGATCGGTCCCGGTGTCGGTGATATCTGCGGACAGATCGGTCCCGGTGTCGGTGATATCTGCGGACAGATCGGTCCTATTGTCGGTGATATCTGCCGACAGATCGGTCCTGGTGTCGGTGATATCTGCCGACAGATCGGTCCCGGTGTCGGTGATATCTGCCGCCAGATCGGTCCCGGTGTCGGTGATATCTGCCGCCAGATCGGTCCCGGTGTCGGTGATATCTGCGGACAGATCGGTCCCGGTGTCGGTGATATCTGCGGACAGATCGGTCCCGGTGTCGGTGATATCTGCGGACAGATCGGTCCCGGTGTCGGTGATATCGGTGATCTGGTCCCGGTGTCGACAGATATCTGCGGACAGATCGGTCCCGGTGTCGGTGATATCTGCGGACAGATCGGTCCCGGTGTCGGTGATATCTGCGGACAGATCGGTCCTGGTGTCGGTGATATCTGCGGACAGATCGGTCCCGGTGTCGGTGATATCTGCGGCCAGATCGGTCCTGGTGTCGGTGATATCTGCCGTTAGATCGGTCCTGGTGTCGGTGATATCTGCCGCCAGATCGGTCCTATTGTCGGTGATATCTGCGGACAGATCGGTCCCGGGTGTCGGTGATATCTGCCGCCAGATCGGTCCCGGTGTCGGTGATATCTGCCCGCCAGATCGGTCCCGGTGTCGGTGATATCTGCCGCCAGATCGGTCCCGGTGTCGGTGATATCTGCCAACAGATCGGTCCCGGGTGTCGGTGATATCTGCCAACAGATCGGTCCCGGTGTCGGTGATATCTGCGGACAGATCGGTCCCCGGTGTCGGTGATATCTTCCAACAGATCGGTCCCGGTGTCGGTGATATCTGCCGCCAGATCGGTCCCGGTGTCGGTGATATCTGCCAACAGATCGGTGATGGTGTCGGTGATATCTGCCGACAGATCGGTCCCGGTGTCGGTGATATCTGCCAACAGATCGGTGATGGTGTCGGTGATATCTGCCGACAGATCGGTCCTGGTGTCGGTGATATCTGCGGACAGATCGGTCCCTGGTGTCGGTGATATCTGCGGACAGATCGGTCCTGGTGTCGGTGATATCTGCCGCCAGATCGGTCCTGGTGTCGGTGATATCTGCCGCCAGATCGGTCCCGGTGTCGGTGATATATGCCGCCAGATCGGTCCCGGTGTCGGTGATATATGCCGCCAGATCGGTCCCGGTGTCGGTGATATATCTGCCGCCAGATCGGTCCCGGTGTCGGTGATATCTGCCGAGAGATCGGTCCCGGTGTCGGTGATATCTGCGGACAGATCGGTCCCGGTGTCGGTGATATCTGCGGACAGATCGGTCCCGGTGTCGGTGATATCTGCGGACAGATCGGTCCCGGTGTCGGTGATATCTGCGGACAGATCGGTCCCGGTGTCGGTGATATCTGCGGAGAGATCGGTCCCGGTGTCGGTGATATCTGCGGACAGATCGGTCCCGGTCGGTCGTCGGTGATATCTGCCGCCAGATCGGTCCCGGTGTCGGTGATATCTGCCGCCAGATCGGTCCCGGTGTCGGTGATATCTGCCGCCAGATCGGTCCCGGTGTCGGTGATATCTGCGGAGAGATCGGTCCCCGGTGTCGGTGATATCTGCGGACAGATCGGTCCCGGTGTCGGTGATATCTGCCGACAGATCGGTCCCGGTGTCGGTGATATCTGCCAACAGATCGGTCCCGGTGTCGGTGATATATCTGCGGAGAGATCGGTCCCGGGTGTCGGTGATATCTGCGGACAGATCGGTCCCCCGGTGTCGGTGATATCTGCCGCCAGATCGGTCCCGGTGTCGGTGATATCTGCCGCCAGATCGGTCCCCCGTGTCGGTGATATCTGCGGACAGATCGGTCCCGGTGTCGGTGATATCTGCCGCCAGATCGGTCCCGGTGTCGGTGATATATCTGCCGACAGATCGGTCCCGGTGTCGGTGATATCTGCCGCCAGATCGGTCCCGGTGTCGGTGATATCTGCCGCCAGATCGGTCCCGGTGTCGGTGATATCTGCGGACAGATCGGTCCCGGTGTCGGTGATATCTGCGGACAGATCGGTCCCGGTGTCGGTGATATCTGCCGCCAGATCGGTCCCGGTGTCGGTGATATCTGCCGCCAGATCGGTCCCGGTGTCGGTGATATCTGCCGCCAGATCGGTCCCGGTGTCGGTGATATCTGCCGCCAGATCGGTCCCGGTGTCGGTGATATCTGCTGCCGCCAGATCGGTCCCGGTGTCGGTGATATCTGCCGCCAGATCGGTCCCGGTGTCGGTGATATCTGCCGACAGATCGGTCCCGGTGTCGGTGATATCTGCCGACAGATCGGTCCCGGTGTCGGTGATATCTGCGGACAGATCGGTCCCCGGTGTCGGTGATATCTGCCGACAGATCGGTCCCGGTGTCGGTGATATCTGCCGCCAGATCGGTCCCGGTGTCGGTGATATCTGCCGCCAGATCGGTCCCGGTGTCGGTGATATCTGCCGCCAGATCGGTCCCGGTGTCGGTGATATCTGCCGCCAGATCGGTCCCGGTGTCGGTGATATCTGCCGCCAGATCGGCCCCGGTGTCGGTGATATCTGCCGCCAGATCGGTCCCGGTGTCGGTGATATCTGCCGCCAGATCGGTCCCGGTGTCGGTGATATCTGCCGCCAGATCGGTCCCGGTGTCGGTGATATCTGCGGACAGATCGGTCCCGGTGTCGGTGATATCTGCCGCCAGATCGGTCCCGGGTGTCGGTGATATCTGCGGACAGATCGGTCCCGGTGTCGGTGATATCTGCCGCCAGATCGGTCCCGGTGTCGGTGATATCTGCCGCCAGATCGGTCCCGGTGTCGGTCCGGTGATATCTGCCGCCAGATCGGTCCCCCGGTGTCGGTGATATCTGCCCGCCAGATCGGCCCCGGTGTCGGTGATATCTGCGGACTGATCGGTCCTGGTGTCGGTGATATCTGCCGCCAGATCGGTCCCGGTGTCGGTGATATCTGCCGCCAGATCGGTCCCGGTGTTGGTGATATCTGCCGACAGATCGGTCCCCGGTGTCGGTGATATCTGCCGACAGATCGGTCCCGGTGTCGGTGATATCTGCCGCCAGATCGGTCCCGGTGTCGGTGATATCTGCCGCCAGATCGGTCCCGGTGTCGGTGATATCTGCCGCCAGATCGGTCCCCCGTGTCGGTGATATCTGCCGCCAGATCGGTCCCGGTGTCGGTGATATCTGCCGCAGATCGGTCCCCGGTGTCGGTGATATCTGCCGACAGATCGGTCCCGGTGTCGGTGATATCTGCCGACAGATCGGTCCCGGTGTCGGTGATATCTGCCGACAGATCGGTCCCCGGTCGGTGATATCTGCCGCCAGATCGGTCCCGGTGTCGGTGATATCTGCCGCCAGATCGGTCCCGGTGTCGGTGATATCTGCGGACAGATCGGTCCTATTGTCGGTGATATCTGCGGACAGATCGGTCCCGGTGTCGGTGATATCTGCCGACAGATCGGTCCCGGTGTCGGTGATATCTGCCGACAGATCGGTCCCGGTGTCGGTGATATCTGCCGACAGATCGGTCCCGGTGTCGGGTGATATCTGCCGCCAGATCGGTCCCGGTGTCGGTGATATCTGCCAACAGATCGGTCCTGGTGTCGGTGATATCTGCCGCCAGATCGGTCCTGGTGTCGGTGATATCTGCCGCCAGATCGGTCCCGGTGTCGGTGATATCATCTCTAGTAATAATAATAATTATTGGCAGTATTAGTGATCTCCTCCCATTATTATTATTATTATTATTTGTAGTTTTTTTTAATTTGTTTTCTTTCTTTTTTTCTTCTTTTATCACCGCCAGTATTATTATTATTATTAATAGTAGAAATATTTGTTACTTATTATTCATTATCATTACTATTAGCAGGAGAGTATTAATAATAATAATTACTGGCAGTAGTAATATTCTCCAATTATTATTATTTTTGCCCCAATATTAGTGTTCGGTTTATTATATTATAACATTCACATTGGATTATTATTATTATTAATTGAATTAATTAAAATTAAAAATGAGTTTAATTAAATGTCAGCTGACTTGCGGCGGTCCCTAGTCCCGCCCCTACAGGAAGACGTCCATCTTTACTGCTCATGGCCGTACCCATCAGCTACCGCTGGCGAGGCTGCACATGATTGGTTGAACTGTAGAGGAAGATGAAAGAGAGCGCAAACCCTGCGCATCACCTCCATACAAAGTGACTGATTGTATTAATAGGAAATATTCTCACAAAGTGACGGCATAACAGGCAGAAGTCACCAGAATCCACACAGGGTGACAGGGAAATCCAAAGGGGGGGGGTGAAGGCTAAAACCGCGTTAGCTTGTATCCCCCCCTTCTGGATTTCCCTGTCACCCTGTGTGGATTCTGGTGACTTCTGCCTGTTATGCCGTCACTTTGTGAGAATATTTCCTATTAACTAGTTGCCGATCGCAGATACACTGCACTGCGGCCGGCCAGTTCTGGGTGGACGTCATATGACGTCCCCCCAGAACGCGCTCTCCTGCGCGCCCCAGGGGGCGCGCACCCGGCAATCTCCGTGAACGCTGTGTTCTACGGACACAGCTGATCACGAGATGTGGTAAAAGGCCAATCACAGCGGCCTTTTACCACGTGATCAGCCGTGTCCAATGACACGCTGATCACAGGGAAATGCAAGTGCCGGTTCTCGGCTCCACTTTCCTCTCGCTGTCAGATCGTGAGGAAAGTACTGCCGAGAACCGGCAGTTGTCAGAGCGAGGATCGGCACCGATCATCAGGGCACTGATGATCAGTGCCCAGCAGTGGCACCCACAAGTTCCGCCCACCTGTGCCCAGCAGTGCGCCCACTAGCTCCACCCACCTGTGCCCAGCAGATCACCCACCTGTGCCCAGCAGTGCGCCCACTAGCTCCACCCACCTGTGCCCAGCAGTGCGCCCACTAGCTCCACCCACCTGTGCCCAGCAGATCACCCACCTGTGCCCAGCAGTGCTGCCAGTCAGTGCCGCCAGTCAGTGCCCAGCAGTGATGCCAGTCAGTGCCATCTATCAGTACCCATCATCAGTGTCACCTATCAGTGCCGCCTATCAGTGCTGCATATTAGTGCCGCCTATCCGTGCCACCTCATTAGTACTGCCTATCAGTGCCCTTTAGTGCTGCCTATCAGTGCCCATCAGTGCTGCCTCATCAACGCACATCAGTGAAGGAGAAAAAATACCTGTTTGAAAAATTTTATAATACAAACAAAGAAACTTTTTTTTTTCAAATTTTTTGCAATTTTTTAATTTATAGCGCAAAAACTAAAGCGCCCAGCGGGGAGGAAATACCACCAAAAGAAAGCTCTATTTGTGAGAAAAAAATGATCAAAATTTCATATGGGTACAATGTTGCATGACCGCGCAATTGTCAATCAAAGTGCGGCAGCGCTGAAAGCTGAAAATTGGCCTGGTAAGGAAGGGGGGCCTGGTAGGCGAGGGGTTAAACAACGGCCGGTTTTCGGCCCGTCTATGGCCGGCATTAAAGGTACAGGAGCGCCCCAGACACCCCGCATGTAGCACAATGGCAGCCCGGGCGCCCC